CTGGGGTGCTGCTGGGTTGGTCCAGTAGCGCCGAGGAGCGGTGCTACTGGAGCAACCCAGCAGCACCCCAGCTGCTCTGCCCCAGGCGTCCCCAAGTCAGCCGCTGCTGAAACTGACCAGCGCGGACTACAGGAAGCCCGAGGCAGAGTTGCTCTGCCCCAGGCTTCCTGGAATCAGCGCTGATCAGTTTCAGCAGCAGCTGACTTGAGGAAGCTTGGGGTTCTTAAGTTGAATCTTTATGTAAGTCAGAACTGGCGATCAGTTTCAGCAGCGGCTGAATCTGGACGCCAGTTCCGACTTACATACAGATTCAACTTAAGAACAAACCTACAGTCCCTATCTTGTACGTAACCCGGGGACTGCCTGTAGTGAAAAATTCATACAATATTACATTAAAAGAGAAAATGAAAGCACTATATGAGCAAACATCAGCTATCACTCAAACAGAAATGTAGCAGGAGCTTATCTTCCAAAATTCAATAGGTACAAAAATATCTGTCAAACTCTGGTGGCCCCCCACCAGTCCCACTTTTCAGAAGAACTGCTATCTCGGCAGCAGCAAATCATGGTTAAACAGAATCAGAAACAGAGAACAGGTGCTTCAGGAGAAGCTGAGAAGTTCAGGGGAAAGTATCAACTGCATATCCTAATCATTTCCTCTATGGCTTATTGTACCTGAAGCAGTAAGGATCTGAAATAAGCCTAAACGTAGCAAACCAATGAGCTGATAAACAAATCTGTTTTTTCTATAAAGATAATATTTTTTGTACTTGACAGCACTCTATTATGTTGTATGAAAAAGAAATTATAGACAACCATACCACAAAAGGTGTAGGGGTTATACTGGAGAAGAGATATACGGGAATTCCCTGACTGATAAAAGTTGTTGCAGCAAGCCGTGCAAACCTAAATGACAAAAAAAGTTTATTTGGAAATATACTCATGAGATTCTCTCACTAGACAGTTGTGTAAAACCCACAACGAGCATGTAGATTTGATTCTGATGTAATTCATTTGTTCCTTATTTTGGTTACAAACATGGTCCCAATTTGCAGTACAGACTGGATTTTACCTGTGTTTTGTAACCCAAACACAAAAAGAAAGCAAAGCTAAATTTCTTATCAGATGTACAGTGCATACATGTTTACATTGAAAGTACACCCACATCTAACTGCTCAAAAGAAAATATTGTAGAAACAGTGACCAAGCTACAATAAATTCTATTTAACATGCAGAGAAAAAATTGTATTTTCCATAGAAAATTAAGAGTACCTTTTGCTGCTACTTCCACTTGAAGTATGGGCACGAGCATCAAAACCAATTACTACCCCTCTTTTCTTTAAATCACTGAAGTTCTTCTCAAGGTACCTGCAAAATCCCTAAATACAAAAGCCCCAAAACTCAGTCTTAGTATTTTAAATATGCTTGCAATACATTTTCAAATCTTTTTAAAAAGCCACAAATAAAGTACTCTAAATTGGTTAAGAGCACAATTTTATGGGAGCAAGAAATATTGACTAAAAAAATGGCTAGTCTCCAAACAAAAATAATGAACTGACTAGTTTTATAATGTGAATAATTCCAAATGAAAAATTTAAATCCAGGCAGACAGGGCAAAAATGTTTACTTTGGATTACAGAAATGTATAAGTTATTAATAGATGCCTTTTTCCCCATACTTGTGACCTGAAAAAATAATCACTATTAGTCAATACATTCATTTTTTTCCCCTCAAACCTGAAAATGAAATCGGTTTAGGCTTAAAAGCAGGCTCCACACACGCACCAGCTCCCACCTCTCCCCACCCCCCGCTGCCTGATATAGAGGCAGCAAAGCATGTGTGCGCGCGCATTGTAATCAATAAGTCTATACAGCATACAGGGATAAACTATACATTAACATTCCTAATATAAACTGGAGCTGTCACGCAATTTTAAAAATTAATCACAATTAACTGCACTGTTATATAATGAAAAAATACCATTTAGTTAAGTTTTCTTGAATGTTTCCTACATTTTCAAACACTGATTTCAATTACAGCACAGAATACAAAGAGTACACTGTTGCATTTTTAATTACAAATTACAAATATTTGCCTTGTAAAAAAAACTAAACAAGAAACAGTATTCTAGTAATACAAGTATTGTAATGCAGTCTCTTTATCATGAAAGTTGAACTTACAATTTATCTAAAAACAAACTGTACTCAAAAATACAACTATTTCAATTTAAAACTTTAAAGCCTACAAGGCTGCTCAGTCCTACTTCTTGTTCAGTCAATCACTAAGGGTACGTCTCGACTACATGTCTCTGTCACCAGAGGCATGTAGATTAGGCTACCAGACATAGTAAAATGAAGCGGCGATTTAAATAATCGCCGCTTCATTTAAATTTACATGGCTGCCGCGCTGAGCCGACAAACAGCTGATCAGCTGTTTGTCGGCTCAGCGCGGCAGCCATGTAAATTTAAATGAAGCGGCGATTATTTAAATCGCCGCTTCATTTTACTATGTCTATTTAAATCACCGCTTCATTTTACTATGTCTGGTAGCCTAATCTACATGCCTCTGGCGACAGAGGCATGTAGTCTAGACGTACCGTAAGAGAAACAAGTTTGTTTATATTTGCAGGAGATAATGCTGTCCGTTTCTTGTTTACAGTGTCACCTGAAAGTGAGAACAGACATTTGCATAGCACTTTTGTAGCAGACATTGCCTGGTATTTACATGCCATGTGCTAATGATTCATATGTCCCTTCATGCTTCTACCACATGCATCCATGCTGATGACAGGATCTGCTCAATAGCTATCCAAAAGCAGTGTAGACTGATGCATATTTATTTTTATTGAGTAAGATGCCACCAGTAGGGTTATGAGTTTGTTGGTTTGTTTTTTTGTGGTTTGGGTTCTGTAGTGTCTGCATTACAGCATTGCTCTTTTAAGACGTCTAAAAGCATGTTCCACACCTCATTCCACTTGGACTTTGGAAGACATGAGATTCTTAAAGCTTGGGTCAAGTTCTATAGCTGTATTTAGAAATCTCACATCAGTATCTTTGTGTTTTGTCAAATCTGCAGCAAGTGTTCTTAAACGAACATCTGCTGAGTCATTATCTGAGACTGCTGTAACATGAAATACATAGCAGAATGCACGTAAACACAGTGCAGGGCACACACAATTCTCCCTCAAGGAGTTCAAAAAATTATTGGATTTGTTACTGGATTTTTTTTTAAACAAATAAGTGTCATCATGGAAGCATTTTGCCTGGAAAGATGGCCAAAGCATGGGGGGGGGTCATACATATCTGGCCCATGTGTCAGTTTTGTAGCCAGGATTCCATGTTAACACTTGTTCATAGTTTTAATGCCACCTAAAAGTGAGAAACGAGTAGCATTATCTCCCATAAACATTAACTAACTTGTTTGTATTAGCTATTGCCTGAATAAGTAGAAGAACTGGATGGACCTGTAGGATCTCTAGTTTTACACTGTTTTGTTTTTAAGTGCAATTAAGTAACAAAACAAAAAAAAGAAATCTACATTTGTAAATTGCACTTTTACAAAGACGTTGCTCTACAAAATTTGTATTGGTGAGCTGGAAAACACTATTTCTTTAATCATTTTACAGTGCAAATATTTGTAAAGATAATATAAGAGAGCACTGACATTTTGTAATTGATTAAATATTTCTGGATGCTTTTCTATATTTTCAAGTATATCAATCTCAATTGGTGTTCTACTATTGTTTAACAATATCATTAAACTGCAATAAATTGAGATTAATTTGAATAATGATTAATGTTTGTATTTAATCATGTGAGTTAACTGATTAACTGACAGCCCTAATATAGCTCAATAAGATGGCAATTTTAAGGTAAAGATTTTAAAACTAGTATTTCAATACATGCTGCTGGGTTTGCTAAAGTAGTTAACATTGGCCTAATTCTGCTCCCACTGAAAACTACCTTTGAGGTTTTGGAGAGTGATTAAGCTTAATGTTGTTTCATCTGATTACATTTTTATTAAAATATTCATTTCTTCTAAAAGCAGAAGAAAAGCCTGCAGTTACAGAACAGAAAAAACAAAGTGAACCTGGTACCTGAGTTGTCTGGATAATAGTCAAGTCATTCATCTGAGAAATTCCTGCCCCCATGGCTGCTCTGAGCCCTGCTGTCCCAAACTCCATCCGTGAACCAAAACATTTTTGTAGTTCTCCTGTATTTTTTTCAGCAACCATTTTCTTCACTATTTCTGAGGTTTTAGTATTCTGTAGAAAGATAAATTACAATGTACTGGTATTCTGAGAAAGCCTGTTTGTTATAGCTTTAGTCTCAAATTGTGATACTAAGAATCAGTAGAGTAGGAAAAAAAAATGAACTAAACTTGTATACCAAATTTAAAAGCTCCAAAATATTTATCATAACACCTTCATAATTTTAATTAGTCCTGTTATTAAAGGATTCTTATTCCAATATTATATCCATAATCTGGCATACCAATTGCAGTTTGCAAACTAATTTGAGAACCTGATGCTGAAATCTTAGAAATCCTCGCTACTTTGAAAGTCTGTCAGATACAAAAATATTACAAAATGAGGTTCCAAAGAGGAAGGAGAGACGCTGTTCTCAGTAGTGATGGATGGCAGAATAAGGAGCAATGGTCTCAAGTTACAGTGGGGGAGGTCTAGATTGGATATTAGGAAAAACTATTTCACTAGGAAGGTGGTGAAGTACTGGAATGGGTTACCTAGGGAGGTGGTCGATTCTCCATCTCTAGAGGTTTTTAAGTCTCAGCTTGACAAAGCCCTGGCTGAGTTGATTTAGTTGGGGTTGGTCCTGCTTCGAGCAGGGGGCTGGACTTGACCTCCTGAGATCTCTTCCAGACCTAGGATTTTATAGTTCTATGAATACAGGTTGGTCCTCCCTTGTCTGGTACCCTTGGGACTTGACCTATTTCCAATGAGGGAATCAGCTGGATCAGGGGATGTCTCTTGTTACCAGTCTCCCAGGATACTCCTTCTCTCTGCAGTTGGCTCCACTACAGCCCCACTGTCACTGGGCTCCAGCCTGAAGGGCTTGGACTTAGTCTGCAGCCCACTGGGACTCCCGGGGACAGGATACCCCAGCTACCATGGCCCTACTTCTCCCCTGTCTGACCAGGGATTCCCAGGAATGGGGCTTGCCAGCTGTCCGACATCTGCTGCATTCCACTAAGGATCCCCAGGAACAGGGCTTGCCGACTGCCCTGCTTTTGCTGTGTGACGCTGGGTGTCCCCGGGGCCAGGCCTTGCTGACTACCCCATGACTGCCCATCCCGGCCAGAGCTCCCCAGGGATGGGGTTTGCCAGTTCCACTTCTGTCCCTCCCAGCCGGGTTCACTGTTTCCGCTAGCCGGGGCTCCCAGCCAGTTCACACTCCTGGGTGGTGGGGCTCTCTGATCTAGCAACATCCGTGGTCCTGACAGACCATGGTGTTGCCGGACCAGAGAGTCCCAATTTCAGAGGTTCAACCTGTATAAGATTAGACCATTACTGTTATGTGAAAAAATAATTTGAAAGAGAGGGTACTGAAAGGCTATTTAGGGAAATAAATAGATATTACTTGTATAGTACATACTACAAATATGCATGAAACTTAAAAAAAGGCAACATCTCTGTTCCACAAGCTAATATAATAACAACAGGAAGAAGAAATATGTGAAGGGGTTAGAAGGGAGGGAAGATGAAGACAAATATATTCCAAACAAGCAGTTACTGGGGAGACTATATCCATCCATCTTAATGGTTATACTTTTAAAGTTTAATAATCAACTACTTTAAAAACCAATTACTCAAAGAGGATTAAAGAAGGAACTGGAAGAAAGTCTCTTCACCAATTCTGGGATACAGCCTTACTCTATCCATAATGAGTAGGGGAGGCTTTTTTCTTTTTTTTAAATGTTCATTATGTGCACTGCTTTGGAGGCATTTTCCCTTTTTCTTGGAACATTACATGCAAAATCCAATTGTAATATCTCATCCAATGAAGTATACAAGACTTTCACTATATTGAAATACCCTTATATCAGCAATCTTCATATTAACAAGATTACTGGATTTAATGTTTCTACACTAGTAATTCCCTAATCTCTGATAAGCCAGAGAGAATACTGAAATAAGTTTTGGTCCAGTAATTAGGATACTGGCATAGGACCTCTGAGCCCTAGCCAAGATTCTCTGCTCTGCCACAGATTTCTGTGTGACCTTGGACAAATCGTTTGTCTCTCTGTGACTCAATTCCCTGTCTCTATCTTACATTCAGACTCTACATTCTGATGCCAGAGTGCCTTAGATTGGGAAACAATGTATTGTGATATGTGGCATCTTGTGCAATTAATTATCCATCGCATGACAGCACATACTTTCTACTGAAGTACAATAAAGTTTAGATTTTAAAGTAGTTACATCTTAGACTTGTAGTCAACCAAGTGACTTTCTGAAGATCACAGAAATTATTATTTATTGAACATCTTTAGCATGCTTGATAATGTAACAGAGGAAAACAAACTTCCAGTGAACATTTAAACAGATGCACAGCTGCATTCATGTGAGAAAAGTCTCAAGGTTAGCCATGCTAGTCTGTAACTTAAAAAAAATTTGACATGGTAACACAGAAACCTGTGGAGGAACATTTTAACCTGTGCAGGCACCCATTAATGGATGTAAACGTAGCCATTCTTTTACAAAGCAATTTCAGAAGCCAACTAGAGAGAGAGACAGTGTCAAATTTGCATATGAAGGCCAGTTCCACAATCTCCCAGGGATTGAACAAAGACATGAACTGGTTGGGCTGTTATATTCAACAACCAAATCACATCAAAAGCTAAGTACGGGACACTTACAGCCCATTCTATTAGCCTCATTTAGCACAGGCACTATAATTGACAAGGGTGTTTTTTTTTAAAATCTCCCCCTTTTTCTGCTTTACATTTGGAGTTTACATCCCTTTTGCTCCACTCATCTGAAGAAGTGGGTTGTGCCCACGAAAGCTCGATACTATATATTTCTCAGTCTCTAAGGCAGTAGTGAAAGTAACTTAAAATTTCTTACAGGTACTGTCTTATTGCAACCTGGGTCCCTGCCACCTCTTCAAATAGCTCCCTGAACTGTGGCAAAAGTCAGCAACCAGCTCTTGCCCTGTGGGGCCCACCATACGCAGGGGGGCTCCAGCCCAGCCAGAACAGCCTGTCTGTAGCACCCCTCCTTTAATTGGTTAACCGGTTAAACATTAAGTTTAATCGGTTAACCAATTAAATAGGCACTACCGCGGATGCAAAGCTCCCCAGAGTAGAAACAGCTACAAGATTTTTTAAAAATATAGACAAATACAAGCTCTGCTCTCTCCCCCCCAAAAGTATTGGGGAATTACAAACGGAGTTACTATTGTGCTCCCCCAAAGTACTGGGGACGAACAGAATTACTATTGTGAAATATTTTTGTAATATGTAAAATATTGAGAGAAACCACTCTGTGTAGATCATGTACTGAAAAAGTACCACACAGGCTTATCTGCAAACTGTGACTCATGGGTATAATTCCATCAAAATCAATGCAACCATTTTTGTGCCTAACAGTTCACAAGATCAGGACCTTATGTTGATATAACTGAAATAGTAACATGCAGTTTATCAGCGATCAAAAGTCAACTTCACTTTTTCCAATCAAAAATTACCTGTCATCCATCATTCAGTATCAACCCACTCCAGTGGTCTCCAACCTTTTTAACCACAAGATAGGGTTGCCAGATGGTTGCAACAAAAATACCGAACACACGTGACATTATATCAATCTACATTACATCTTATTTAGAAAATACTGGACATTTATATTTTCCTCAATTTATTTCCCAAACAGAAAGCTCAAATACTGGACTGTCCGGTTCAAAACTGGACACCTGGCAACCCTAGCACAAGATCATTTTTTGAATTTAAGTGCAATCCAGGATCTACCTCAAACCCAAACACCCTTCCCCTGCCTTCTTCCCACCCCTTCTCTGTGACCCGGCTCCTACTCACTCCTTCCTCCCTCCCTCCCCCATCCTCATTCACTTTATCAGGCAGCGGACTAGGGTGTGGGGGAGGAGAATCTAGACTCTGATCTTGGGCTAAAGGATTTGGAGTGTGGGAGGGATTCTGAGCTGAACTTGGGGAATGGAGTTGAGGCGCAGCAGGAGGTTCAGGGTCTGGGAGAAAGTTAGAGTGCAGGGGGGACTCAGGGCTAGGACAGGGTTTGGGGTGCAGGAAGGGTTTGGGATTGGGGCCAAGGGTCAGATGGGGCACCACTTACCATGGGTAGCTTCTAGATGGTGGTACAGTGATGCTAAGACAAGTTCACCCCTACGCTGGCCCTTCACCATTCCCAAAAGCAGCCAGCAAACTCTCTTCATTCCTGTCCCCCCTCTGCTTGCTCTGTGGAGATGGAATATGGAGGGAGAGAAGAAGGGCACCCAGATATCATCATCCCCTCCTCTTCTTCCCATGTCTTGCACAGAAAGCAGAATGCTCCCACGGGTGGCAGGCAGCAACACAGCAAAGGGCAGATGAAGTGCTGGCACTTAATAGCCTCCCTGCCAAACCTGTCAGGATCACCTACCAAATGTTCCAAGATCTACCAATAGATCGCAATCTACTGGTTGGTGACCACTAACGTACTCGTTACATTTTCCAGCAAGCACCTCCATACTCTCTCCCATGCTGCTCCACATTTCGGAGGAACTTTCCATAAACCACCTATTATCTGACTATGGTAAAATATTGGAGCAAGAATGCCCTCGAGTAGAAATCAGACTACCTTTCTGATTGTATCACAGTTGCATCTGTTATAGCAAGCTTACTTAAATTACCCACTTTATTAGATGTATCACCTGTTGGGGGGAAAAAACTGACAGTTGAGCATATTGATTGCCTGTAATCTTCTAGAACAAACTTTCATTTATATCTTTATTTGTTTACCAGGTCACCAACGAAAAGCTATTCATATATAAGCTGAAGCTATACAAAAAAAGGAACAAAAATATCTGAAGCTATAAAAAAAGGAACAAAAATATCTGAAGTGTTGGCCTATCCCTAATGATTTAAAAATTGCTTTCTTTTCCAGTTGCTCTGTGTTTTGATTTTGTTATTTTTTCTTTTGTAATTGTTTAGTCTTGAATAATGCTCACATTAAAATGTCAGACACTTCAAAAGGCACTTTCTTTTCATTTCATTTTACTTTGAGTTATTTTAATACAAAAAATACAAGTAACTTTTTTTGTGATTAAACGTAAGCGATTAAGGGTAAGCCTATTGGAAACAACAAAATCTTACTCTCCTTTACTAATGTTTGATAAAGTAGTGCTTAAAATATTTGGCCATTTTCCATATTTAACGAATGTTTGACCAATTATTATTAGACTGGTCAAACACCCAATTCTACTTCTTTTTATTCATCATACATAATACATCAGTTAACATGGGTCACCCCTCCCCCTATTCTCCCTGGTCCCACATTCCCTGTGGGATTTCCTTTTGAAATATACAAGAGCCGCACTGGGACTCTTGAACATTTCAAAGGCTCAGGTATGGCAGAGAGCAGAGGGCCAGTCCCCACACTGGCCCCATGCTCCCTGTGGCGCCTTCGCCTTTGAACTGTTCAATGGCGGAGGCACCCTTATTCACTACTCCAACAGTCGATGGAAATTCCATTGACTATTCAATTAGTAATTAATCTAAATTTAACATCCCTAGCAGCAGGCCAGCCAAGCTGCTCCATGGGGGAGTTCTACTCCAGCAGGGCTGGAGCGCCTCCTGCCCACAGCGCAGCAGCCTGCTCTGGACAGGCTGGGCCCGCCCCACCTCCAGCTGGTCCCCATGTGTTGCACCCTGGGTGGGCAGGGAGCTGCTCCAGCCTAGCTGGTCTAGAGTGCTCGTGGCGCAGCAGGCCAGGCCAGACTGGCCTGCCCTCCTGCCAGCTAGGTGCTGGCTGATGCTTACTGGTTAACAGGTTAACCATTCACATCCCTAGTGCTTTTACCCTATACTATACACCAAATAAAAATATTGCTAAGGGTTCTTAGTTAAATTTTAAGAGTTGTATTTATAAAGCTATCCTATAATGCAAAATGCAAAAGAATTGGGGACTGTGACTGATGTACCCCTGTATCCACCCCCTAAACATACTATAATAATCTTGGTATAAAATATGCCATGGGAGCTATCATTCCAAAACTAAACTCACTGCTCATTAATATCATTGTGAAATATATGTAGCAACATTATATGTAAAGTTACAAAATCCCACAGTATGATGTTAAAGACATACAGCCCACATAGCCCCAATTCCCTAATATGATCTGAGGAAGTGGGTCTGGCCCATGAAATCTCATCATCTATTAAACCATCTTGTTAGTCTTTAAAATGCTACATAGTTTTTCCTTTTGTTTCTTAATATCACTTTATAGTCAAATGTTTTGTTCTTTCATCAAAATTAACCCAGTGTTGTTAATTGTGTAACTTAGCTGAAGGCAACAAGTTACTATGTACTAATCTCCAAAGGATTTAGTATATCTGGACTGTTCAGAAGAGAACTGAATACTGAAGAACACACAATTTGGGGGGAAAACTTAGGGTTGGGAACATGTTGGGTTCACCTGCAAATAACCTGGGCTCACAGAAATTGCTTTGCTGACAAGCTGCTGGACCAGGGTTGTAGCTTTACAAAGACACTCAGGGTGTGACCTGCATGCTGGTAGGCAGATTGTGAATGATCAAAGTTAGAAGCTACAACAACAAAGCACTGTGAGGCACTACAGGTTGTAGGGCATGGGTGACACAATCTCTGGTCTGGCTTTCACCTCAGGAAGTCATAGGGACAAAACAGGGAAGTTAAAATACAACATTGCTGAAAACAAACTAAAGGTAAGAGCCAAAAGGCTATTCAAATGCCAAATGAAGTGGAATAATTAAAAGCAACTGCAGATAATTAAAAGCAACTCTGAAAAGACTGTCCACCCCTAGTGGACAAAGTATTGGACAGGGGCTCTGAGTTATAGACCCAATGCTACACTACACTGGCTTGCTGGGTGAACTTTAGCACAGGGCTAGCCAACCTGTTAGAGATGAAGAGCCAAAATAGCGGTGGATAGAGCGCAAAGAGCCACGTACCGGGGGGAGAGTTGTTTAGAGGAGAGGGAGGGGGGGAAAAAAAGCTGCGCTAGAAGAAAATAGGTGCTGGTACACTGTCCCAGGGCATACCATCACAAAAAAAGCACTGGGAAGGGGTGAGAGGTTCAAGCTCTGGGAGGGAATTTGGGTGCAGGAGGAAGTAGAGAAGAGGATACTGGCTCAGGAAGGGGGCCTCCAGGCTGGAGAGTGTTGGGGTCTGGGGAGGGTTGGGATGCTGAGCAAGCCACAGGCTTTTGGGTGGGGGGGGGGGGG